TGAGTTTGATCATAGGATATAAAGTGACGGCATACATACCGCGAATTTGATAACCTGGAATAAGCCTCAATTATCATCAACGTTTTGTCTATAAAGATACCATTGTAGCTGATGATGAAACCAATGGAAGCTTGTTGGACCCATCTCGGCAAACAAGATAAAAATCTATTCAACTCAGTCTACACCGGTGGCGACTACTGGATAGGACGGATATCAGCTTGGCTCTATATCGTCACCCATAATAATAAAGCATAAAACCGGGTTTGCCGAATCTCTTGATAACTGCGGATCAATACGAGCATTACTACTGTGCCTAAACATATGTCTCGGTGGGGTCCGATGTGTAGTATCCATTATTTCATATGAGTGATGGAGGATCTAATTCGATTTTAAAAGTGAATTCGTCGTGTGTACAGCAAATGAAGCGTGAACTGAGAAGCTAGAAAGCACCGCACAACTGTTTCGACCTGGTTGGGTTTCATCAGCAATGCGAATCCATCGAACTAACTGGGGACAGAACCCGGAACCTCACAGGCAGAAAGCAAGTGTGCTATCCACTCGGCCACCGGGCAGCTGGTCAGGTCGTTTTTTATTTTCCATTTGCACGACAGTAACGCAAACCATCTTTGCAAGCTTGTTGCGGGCCGCTGTGTTCAGAACTGAAAAACTGTCAGCACTTTGAGTGCCCAACACAAAGTGACGGAGGAAGTTTGCCGGGTGATAAAAGTTTCCTATTGTTCCTCATATTTCACTATTCAACACTCATCATTCCGTGGATAAGGATGAACCACGCATGAGCTTCTTAAGCAAGCACTAAAAATCGAACCAAACATAAGACAATTTACGGTGAAACGAAATAGAAAACTGGACATCAACATTTGGTTTGAACGATAGCCACTCTGCCACTATCGGCTTCTTGGGGTAGCCTTTTGTACGTACGAAGACCAAAAGAATCCCAATTATTCAGGACGAGAACGTACTGTCTGTCAATCCAATTTCCCAAATGAGAGCAGCATAGCAGATGCATGTTAATTAGACACATCACAGTAACGGCCAGCGGAATTGTCGGGAATAATGGAGGTAGACACAAAAATGCATGTGGGTCAAACCAACCGTTCCCCCAGGCTGAACAGATGCCGCATGAGGACAGTTGCTCGAAAATCGTAATTGGTTTCAGTGACCAATGGTGACCTGCGGTCATAAAAGGTTCGGCCTAGTTTGTCCAATTATCTTTTAAGAACATCAACATGATGCGGCTATGAAACAAAGAAGAAGAACAACAGAATGGTAAACAAAAACCAGAGTGTAAAGGCTAATCAGAGAATCTGCCTCGCAAAAATTGGTCAGATGTAATAAAACAAAAATTACCTACGCATTTACCAACGGTGATTCACAGATTGAACTATTCGAGTCATTAAGAAAAAGCGAGCAAATCGAAATAGAGATGAATACGATACAATGTGTGTCAATAAAGCGCACCAAGTCTACATGGCAGGTCATTCGATTATTTCGTCCTCACGCTTATATCCACGCGTCCGCAGTCAATGAGAATGGAACGTGTGTTGCAGAGGCTGGGTAACAAACGATACGAAACACTTGAACAGAATTTTGATCCCGTCTACACTTGATGAACGAATATAAACAGTATGTTGCCTCTATTGGAATGACGTCGCTAGCGCGTGTACTAATTGTTCTTTAATAACTTCAGCCTCGTTATGGTATCCTTAGCACACACACACTGACAGGAACAGCCAACGGTCAAACACCGAGGCAGTATCTCACATTAAATGCAAATACATTCCCATTAACAAGGAGCGGGTGGAGCGGGAAACTGCAGATGACACGATCGCTACTCCTCTTCAACCCACGGATTACCAAAACTAAACTGCGGATGCCTATCAGTAACCTACATCTGACCGAGACCAGAGTTGTTTCTTCGCTGAGTTCCGTTGGAAAAGCATTCCTAATGCATTACACACCTAAAGGCGAGTTCTGGGCCAGATATGCGATGCCTCAGAAACGGTTGAACAACGGAGCACCGGTGAGAAAATGTAAATAGTCATTCAAGAAACAAACTAAAGGTTACAGATATTAGTACAGAAATAGGATAACTGTGATAACAGCGAGCATCTTATATGATTCTATTCGGTTTAAAGCATAACAGACTCCAATATAAAACGAAGTTGACATGAAAGCAACAATCGGCTCAACTTCTTTCGAGCTCAATACTGGGATCCGAATCATGATTGCTATCATTTCGCTAAGGGCTCGTGAGTTCAGACTGTGTACCTAACAAATCACAATACAAAAATCGTATTAACAAAGAAAGTTCAGTGATTTGCTCTAGAGTGCGATACTGCTAGGTTGCCCAGATCAAAGCGGATGAAGTTTCTGGGGAAATTCACAATCGGAGCCTTAGACTAGCCAAAGCCTGACTCGGAAATCAACGGGGCGATGTGGATGTGAAACCATAATCCATTGAGGGCCGATGTCCAGTTCATCAGATTGGATTTGGATGGGGTCGAACGTTCAAGGGGCACAATACACTGGATACCCAATCGAGCCGGTGCCCACTGCCACAACTAAGGTGTGTGGGCAGTTCGTGCGCTTCCTCTTGACTGGTATGGAATCAGGGATTTTAGCCAACTCCCCGATGTGAACTGTCAGCGGTTCATCGATCCAGTTGTCCCCAGATTTTGGTTTTTCATCCTCTAACTTTGTTGGGAAAACCCCCGCTACACGAAGGTAACAGCCTGAAAATTTTGCTTTTACTGAATCGGCTTGGTCGATCTAACGCGTTTGACGATCAAAGAGATTCATCAGGGTGTTGATGGATGTAAGGAGCACAAACTTCTATGAACAAACTGATGAACACAAGTCAATGGTGAAAAAAAAACTGATAAATGGTTTATTTGTTTAGCATAGACTATGGATATGCTGGTAACGTAACTAACAGTAGTGGAACAGTGAGCTCCTAGAGCTTCGACCGCCAAAACTACGATAAGTTGTTATGATTTCAAAAACTGATTACATTTCCCGATAGAAAAACTAAAAACGGATGGGGGCTGGGATAAACAATGAAACCGTTCATGTTAAACCGATGTGATCGACCGAGATCAAGGATAGGTAGTTCAACAAATGAAGAACATTTATGCAACAAGTTAGAAGACAGACATGGAATAAAATGTACTAGAGCGGGAGCAATTGTATAGTAAAACGGTGACTCAGAACATGGGAGATGAGCGAATTGGACGGAACAGAAAAGTTGACCAGTAGCCAGTACGAGTAATCAGGTGGAACACAGTATGAGTCCATAGGGCACACTAAGGGTTACCACAACTTCCGGTCTTGTTTAATGATTTGCGACTGATTAGCTGAGGCTTCAGAGACTATCCGCAGTAAAACAAGTACAAATTGTGAGTAGAATAAATCAACAAATTGCAGATGGACTCCCCATGAAAACCGGAGCAGCATACATGCAAAAAGGAGATGTGATTGAAACAGAAATACGAAGATCCTAAGAACTGTTCAGTGTTAATTACCATGATACCCAAACACAAAGATAACCCGACCAAAATTAGACAGACCCATACAAGGAGATGATATCTGGCAAAACAATGGATAATCATCTTCGTGGTGTCAAATAAGACACGAAACTGTACAAGTCATCTTCCGTACATACTCCCCAATATATGACATATATGACAGAAACATTTGTATCTCTTAAATTAAAAAAAACGCGATCAGAGGAGAATAAATTGCGTCTTAGCTGCACATAGCCCAACAGGACAAACGAACTTATTAGATTAACTGTCTTGAACGTGAACGGCTTCAAAATGCCACGAAAATGTGTTGTTTACACAGGTGGCATGACATGAATAAAAGAATATTGAAAGATTATTAATTAGGTATCATGAATGGTGTGAATCAGCGTATGCAGAAGAAGCACTGGGTTCCCATTCTGGCTTGACAAATCAAAATCCAACTAACTAACGACTGAACCGGTTGCGTTTAGAATGTACGTGTTGTTTGAATTCAGCAACAAATAGCGATTTGGACGCACTGATTCTCATGGAATGCTGTTCCTTCTTAGTAATCTATACAATCAGAAAATATCAGATGCTAGTATTCTACAAGAACTAGATATAATACAGAATCTATTTCTTATCATACACATACAGCAGACGCGGTGGACCCGGTAGTCGGGAAGATCTGTTATTCAGTAATGGAAACTGGCGATTCATAGCCCGGGACCCGGAGTGGTGAACCTTTTAAGGTCCCGCTAGGTTACGTAAAGTTTCACAGAAAACGAGAAACAGTTAAAATATACCCGCAAGAAGAACTGTATTGAACGCGAACTTAGTTTCCATTGCCTTGTATGTATGCAACACTTGAATTTTCCAAATAAAAGAATACATAAGCTCAACACCCGAGCAAGTATTGTCTCGTTGTACCCTACTTGGCTTCCCTGAATACACTTCCTTATTGGAATGAATTCGAATTGGTTTCTCTCATTCGATGAGTACAGAACACACCAGACTTGTTGTTTCAGTCTGCAAAAACACGAGAATATCAGTAACAGAGTTTGGGAGCGGTGTCCCCCGTCAGGAATGAGCCTATGATGTGTTTTGGGGGTGGTCGAGGTGAAGTAATACCGATCGTCATCATATTAACCCGGAGGCTGAGTTCGAATCGCATCACGCCGTCAGAAACGTCCTGAATTTTCTTCGGTACCAGACAAATCTATCGGACGCGATCCGTTGCAGGAATGACCGCTAACTGACGAACTGAATTCAAGGACTTGATGACATTTTATACCGTGGTGAAAATCAATCTTAGTTATAGTCAGAATCAAAATGCAAAAGTTCACTAAATCCACAAAATTTAGTGACACAAAAATAAACGTGATCACAAAATGGTGAAGCTGCACACACAACACAACAATAACAACGCGATTGTCATCAAGAACGACGGAACCGAAGTCAGATTACCAATCTTACTCGGATTTGACTGTTCGGTTTTTGTACCACAGAACAATAGTCTTTGCTCTTCTGGACTGAGTGCACGTGTATCGGAATAGCCATTGCCGGTTGAAGGAAACGAGAGATGCTGTTCCTGTCGATCACCGGACGCGATCCAATCATTTGGACCAGTCGGTAACGGTGGGGGAGGATATTCCGGTGGAGGAGGAATCGGATGAGGTGAATTAGGAACGGCTAAATACGAGTGGCCAACAGGTGCCAACTGACTACCCGGATGCACAGAGGGCCAACGGTGTGTGACAGAAAGACGATCAGTACGCGGATCCATGAAGGCAGATTCTTCTTGAATCAAAGCACTAGAACTGCCAATACTTTGAGACATGCTGATGAGACCGACCGTACAAGTAGTTGGTTGCGGGGCCTGAGTGGATAAAAAAAGAAGCAAAACAGGGCAATTATTATTCATTCATATCGAACTCCGTTGACTAAAAAGCATGTCTGATGAGAGAACCGATTCTTACCACTTCATTTATTATGAACATGAAAAGTATCATATATTGCCGTAATTTTGAGAAAATAAATGATCAGTACGGTTAGTGCCTGTATAGAAATGTAACGACAATTCAGATTTAAAGAGGAATAAAAAAAAATCGGAAGCGTCCAACACTGCTGGAATAACGTTCTAAGTCGTCTATCACGAGATGGAATTCTAATAGTGTACTGAATGTGTCTATGGTAAATGAATGGTTGTAATAAATTTCGGGGTGGAAGAAACGACAGAATTTGGTTGAGGGAGGAAAACTGAATCCCATGGAATGAAACATTGTAAAAGGTAGTCAGAAAAGTGAAAATATGAACTCTCAAACAATAAATCATGAACTCGACCAACTGGAAAGGTCAGGAATTCCGTTGACACTAGGGAGGGGGAGGGACGATTAAGACATAACGATGGACGGTAAAATGGTAAGGGTTCGTCCAGATAATCACAATTTTACCGAAAGATGAATCTGAAGATATCAGGCTAATAAGATTCCCACAGAAACATCCTGAGTGCATCTACGAAAGTTTGATGGTAACAAGAATTTAGATTATACCCACTGAATTGTACGTTCCTAAGACACTGTGCATCAACATTGCAAAGTATTGTACTTCATAAATACTGCACGAACGTGTGTTCATGTATCAAGTAACTAAATAGCTAAAAAGAAATTTTCCGGAACAACTTGGCTGGTTTCCCGACAGTTGTCACTCATCAGATGCGCATATCCAAAAACCTGTCAACCAATCATCCACACACGTGAATCCCAGGGTATATAGATATACAGTGAAATTTCGTGCGTTTATTCAGACAGACCACTTACTACATACTATCCCAAAAATGGTATTTAGTCAAATTTGAATCTACTGGTAGCATCTAAATCATGGAGATAACATCGAATCGTACCATCGATTCAGACTTACACCGATTAGGAAGATGCGGCCGCAAAAATACGCCCCAGCGGATGGTGTGAAATTTGTGAGGAACGTATAAAACACTGGTTGGAGAACAAGCATAGTACAAACACGATAAAAAATGAAAACGGAAATTGGGAATTCGAAGAACCGATGAGAAAAATGCAAGGGAAGCGGAGTGCAGATAACAACATTGTGTTTTTGATTTGTTTCATACGTGGCTGCATGTACGTGCGAGGAAACAGAAACACCAAAGCGAACCACACCAAATTCAATATTTTCCTTTCCGATTTGACAGAGTCCCACGTAATTCGCTGAACTATTAAATTCCACGGGAATTTAGTGCTCAAAGTTTTGCATGNCATTGGGGGGGGGGGAGGGGAATCATCGTAATCATGAGACCATTTTGCATCGCTTGACTAAACGAACTGGAATAAACAAATAGCTCGTTGCATCACCTAAGTCAGTGAATGTAACGAAACAGCTCTTCGTATCCCAGTACCGTATTGATGCAGGAATGCCATCGAATCATTCACACGATTTGAACAGTTGTGATTATTTGCATTATGACACACGTTCAAAAGGGGAT